AATCACAGGAAGGGGCAGGAAGTACAGGGTCCCTTGAGCCTTGACTTGCCCGGGAGAGATGGACAGAGACCCACTGAGGCACTGCTGGTCGTGCTGTCCACTCTGTGTGTTGTCTTGGGGCATGAAGCCTACGTAGGCCACAGGTCAGACTCCTCTCTGCCCTGGGGAGGGCAGCAGTCAGCTGATGGGTCTGTACAGAAGTTGTGTTTTTTAAATTTCTGGTGTCTACAAATGAGGCCTCAAGTCTATTCCTGTAGGTGTGTGTTGGCCACCATGCTCCAGAGCAAAGCTGCCCTTGGCCTTGAGGGCCGCAGTGCCCAGGTCCCGACATTGGCTTACTCAGACGACTTGGGCTCTGTGGACCAACTCCCTCAGACCTGTTTGCCCTAACCTGCTTTTTAAGGGCTGTAACCAGCCCCTCCCTCTAGTCTCCTAAAGACACATTTGAAGAGTGATACAGAGAAAGGTGAGTCCCCTTTCCAGAGGGTCCTCTATGCTCTGGGAAATCCCAGGAAATGGGGCCATCCATGCACCGGAGGCCATAAGCCTCCAAGTGGTATTTACGTCTAAGGACAGAGGGGGTGGCAGCGGGGCAGGGTCTCTGTCCCTCTTCTGACAACATTTGTAGTCCTTTCCCGGATCCACCAGGTACGTGACCAAAGGGTCAGCCAGGTACCTGAAGTGATGCCCTTCAGTGTGGCGGGGGAGGGCTGTCTGGCCAGGAGCCAGTGAGATTTTGGGGACTCTGCTGATGTTCTGTAAATTGGGCCTGGGACTGGCCAAACTCTAAGGAGGCAAGTTTTTCATAGATTCACTCATCTGGCTTTTATTGACTGTGCTTGGAGCTGGGGATACACAGGGAGGGCAAGACTGCCCCCATCCTCCTGGAGGTTGGGCCCTGAGGAGGAGGAGTTGGCTGGGAGGACCTGGGCCGGTGTTTGGGGTAATGTGTTCAAGACTGAAGGCCAGAGGAGCTGCCTTTAGAGGCTGGGGAGGGCAGGAGGGCCAAGCTCTGCAGAGCCTGTGGCTGGAGAGCAGGGCCGGGAGAGGCCCCTGGAGAAGGAGCACAGGCTGCTATTGGAATGAGGGATTCCACCAACTCTCAGGAGCCATGGAAACCCCTCAGGAGACCCAAAGGGGCCCCCCAGGCTTCTGGTTGAGCAGTGTGGAGGTACCATTTGTGGAGGATGGGGACTGCGTGTCGGGGAGCCACTCACCTTTCCAGGGGATGCCCTCTGAAACATCCCGGGATGTAGCCGGCATGTCCTTGGACACGTCTGACGTGGAGCCAGGGCTCCTGGGCGTGTCCCTGGGGACAAGGTCCCCCTGCAGTCACCGCTGTGGGAGCATCAGGGAGAAGTCTCAGGCTGTGTGCGGGGCTCAGGCCCGCTTGGTCCCGGTCTCTGCTCCTGTTGCAGGAACACAGCCAGCCAGCGTGCCGCTTCCAGGAGCATCCGTGCCCCTCCTCCCCCGCTATCTCCGATCTCTCATCCGCACAGGACGATGATGGCTAGGCCGAGCAGGCACTGCCAAATCAGACGCAGCCTTTCAGGGACGGCGTCCTATTTTGAAGTCTGTTTACTCTACAAAAATCGATCTCTTTGGTGCCTGGAGGAGGAAGGTGCATGTCAATCGAAGCCAGCTCTGGATCCCACTGCTCTCCAGGTACCAGGTCAGGGAAACAAACTGCTGCTCCCCAGGCGGTGGACACAGGGGCGTTTGGTTTCATTAGTTAATCACACACATCCCCCCAGAGGCCAGAGCGGAGCCTTGCTGATGTCTTGGAGGTCGTGGGAGGGAGCAGAGGACAAGGTGGCGATGGCAATGGCCAGGGAGCTGGGACCCACGTGGTCTCGATGGTGGCCCGAGACCTCGTGTGCCGTGGGGCTGGTTGCTCCCACGAGGGCCTTTCCAGGGACACCGAAAGGCCACTTCACTGGACGCAGCAGGCAGCCAGGGAGAGATGGGCCATCAGAGCTCTCTCCCACTCTGCTCCCACCAGCTCTGTGACCTGGTGGCCATCTCTACTTTTCCTCATCAATGAACTGACTGGTCACTTATATGCTGGCTTGTGTCCCCTGCCACCAGATTCCTCTGCTGAAGTCCTAACCAGAACGTAACTGTTTGGAGGCAGGACCTTGGGGTACGTGATCAGGTTAGAACAAGGCTGCTCGGGGGGACCCTGATCCACTTTGAGGGTGTCCTTACACGAGAAATCTAGGCCCTCAGAGAGCCACTGGGAACACTCCCAGAGGAAAGGCCGCTGAGGACAGACAGGGAGGCGGCTCTGCTGGCCGACGGAGAGGCCCCTGAGAAATCAGCCCCGTTGACACCTCCATCCTGCCCCCCAGCCCCTAAACCACGGGAAATCACGTCTCTGTGCTCAAGCGGCACAATCGGGAGGACTCTGCTAGCACAGCGCCAGCAGACGCCGCCACCTTCTCTTCCACAGCCCAAGGTCATCTCAAGGGCCCAAGGAGAGACTGCAGGCAAAAGGGTCTGGGAATCAGAAGGAAAAACGCAGTTTTCTCCATTCCTTTTTATTCCATTAAGGAGAAGATCTCGTTTGGCCAAGGTATGTCTTCAATATCTTTCTGATATTGGAAATCTCCCTTCTAAAAAGAAATTGAGATAAAATTCTCTCAATATAAAATCCTCCACGAATCGTTTTCGGGTGTACTCTCCTGCAGGTGTAACCACAGCACTGTGCGGCTGTCACCGCTCACTGGGGCTGAGACACCCCATCCTCCAGGGCCTGGTGGTCCAAGCTCACCTTCGTCTCTGGATTTTCCTACTCTGGACGTTTCATAGAGTACATGTCACAGGAATTGTATGTGTGACCTGGGTGCCAGGTCTCTGTCACCACATGCCTTGGGTTCATCCATGCCACAGCATGAGTCGTGCCTCTCACCTTTTCATGGCTGAATTATATTCCATGGAAACCACGTTCTGTTCATCTGTCTATCCCCTGATGGACATTTGGGTTGTTACTATCTTTTGGCAATTAAGGATTGTGCCCCCATGAATGTCAGTGTGCAAGAATGTGTCTGAACGTCTATTTCAATTCTATGGGCTACATACTTAGAAGTGGAATTTCTGGGTCATATGGTGATCCTATGCTTACATTTTTGGGGAATGGATCTCTCCTGTTCTAATCAAGCAAGAGCTCGTCAGGATTCAGACCTTCATTGGAGAGAGCGTTCAGAAGAAGTTTGCAGAACTCTTGATTTCTAACGGCCCCACAAAGTCCATGCTGGATTTTCATCTGTAGGAGCAGCACAATATTTTTTTAAAAATAAGCGTTACTGTAGCCAGACGTGGTGGTGCGTGCTGGTGATCCCAGCAACTCAGGAGGCGGAGGCATCGCAAGTTTGAGAACAGCCCCAGCAATTGAGTGAGATCCTGTCTAAAACAAAACAATTAAAAAAAAAAAAGGCTTTTGATGTGGCTCAGGGGTTCAATCCCCAGTACCAAAAAGGAAGAGAAGGGAAAAAAAGACAAAAGAATTCATGTTACTTTAGGAAACGGGCAGATGCAAACCTATTTAGAAAACAGACGACACTGTCCAGAGGGCTGGCCTCCCGCGGGCAGGCGTCTCTGTCTGGTTTACTCTGAATCTCCAGGCCCTCCGATGGTGCCTGCATGATGTCAGGTCCTGGGTACACGATCACTGAATCAACGACTGTACGTGATACACCTCTGAACAGTATCACACATACGTAATTGTCCGAACGGGATGTGGCTCTGACGGAAATCACAAAGGTGGAGAGCAAATGCCTAAGAGCTGGCACGGTGGCCCCCAGGCACACATGAGGGTGACACCCAGCCCTGCCACTTGCTCACCCTGACTGTGGCCTATTTCTCATCTTCTCTGAACCTCAGTTTTCTCCTCCGAAGCTCGGGGTTACTGGGGGAATGCAAGGTGCTGGTGTGTGCGGCACATTCAGCAGAGGCCGGCTGGGATCATCTTGACCCCCTCAGCTGCAGCAGGGGGCTCAGCAGTGGGGAGACAAGGGAAGGCTCAGCCTGCAGTGTGGTGGGGGAGGCTGGGAGTCCCGCTGCCAGCACATGGTCAGGGCTGCATGCGTTTGCTGGGCAGGGCCGGCCCTAGGCCCACACAGGAATGGTTGCGCGTGAGAAGCCGCATCCGATCTTGCATTCGTTCAGGGCTGGCGGCCTGTGAGTGTGATTTCCCTGTACCCTCACCCGGCAGGGCTGGCCAGAACTAGAACCCCCTACGTTACAGGGCGCAGACCTGTGCTGAGGAGGGCGGAGGGGCTGGGTTCATGCAGCAGGTCAGCCTCAGGGTGGGGATGACAGAGTTGGGATGGCTTGTCCTGTGGTGTTGGGACCTGCCCGCCAGCCTCTTGCCCCAGGCTGGGCCTGGGAATTCGCATTTGAGTTCCCACCTTGCACTTGTTCTGCAGAGCTTTCCAGATTCCGGGGCCTCTGCAGAGTAGACAGGGTCCCCTGGATCTCGAGGAGACATCACCCTTCACCCTAAGTTGGAAGAGCGGGGGTGGGGCAAGGGCGCACCACCAAGCTGCTGGGAGGGGACGTGGCAGGGGAGTCCCTTTCATGGGCCACTTTCTCCTTCTTCCCAGGACACTGGGCGAAGCTCATTCCTCTGGGTGTCACCGTGCTGGGAGCAGGGCCCCTGCCACCACCCAGACACAGGCCGCTCCAAAAGCCTGCCAGTTGGGGCCGAGTTAAGTGGGTACAGGTAACAGGGCTCAGCTGGGGACCTGGGACATGTGCCCAGGGGGAGAAGAGAAGCCACCAGGTCCAGGGCCAGCACCATCTATCTTGATGTGACCTGTGGAGGCAGCGAGATGAGTGGGTGTCCCTCCCAGGCCCTCGGAGCTTATCACGGTTATTGGCTCAGAGGGCCTTGGAGAGCCGCCGTCTTCAGAGTGACATGGAATTTATTACTCCTTCCTTCCGTCGCTCGACAGCCTTTCCCCCAGCGCTTTTCTTTCGAAAAATGGTTCCTGCCAATCTTGCTGTTTACTTAAGCGGTTATTTATTTATTTCTCCCGCTGCCGGTCTGAGCACTTCTTGATAACTTCACCGCCTCTCCACCCGCTTAGAGGACCCCATAAGGAGAGCCCCAGCCCTGAGGAGCAGGCAGGAAGGTGACCTGCCTGGCCTGGGCCGGGCCTCGGGGAGCTTGGGTGAAAATGGGTGGCTGTGGGTGGCTGCACCCCCTCTGCCCAGCTGGGAGGTGGGGCATGGGACTCAGCGGGGCTCCTGTGCTGGCTTCTGTGGCTTCCACTCGCTGGCCTGACGCCTTGGGCAAAGTGTCCCCTGTCTGGGCCTCAGTTTACTCACCAGGGAACAAAGGAGAGGGGCTCGTCCCCCGTCCTGTGGTCTAGGAAGGCAGAGGGCACGGATCTGGCTGAGTCTGTGGTGAACCCACTTCTCTTTGCTTCTCTTGCTGTGGCCCTGAAAACAACCCGAGGTGGACAAGCTGCCCAGTGCTGGGCCCCGTGCTGGGCCCTGGGTTGGCCCTGCTTACAACGCATGTCTGATTCTTATGCAGGTGTGAGGAGGCCAACAGACGGAGGGGGACGCCCTTGCTGGGGCTCAAGAGGTGGCCAGGTCTTACCACACAGGCCCATGCAGGGAGGGCAGGCAGAGGGCGAGAGCAGGGGCGCCCGGGTGGGGGTCTTAACTGTTTCCATGGGAAGGGAGAAACGGCAGAGGCCAGGTGAGAAGCCTAGCTGGCCAGCCTGAGTAGTTTTAGTGGGCTTCGGGTGTGGTGGGCTTCCGGAGGTCTGTTCCTGGGGTGATGGGGGACCGGTGGACCATGGTCCAGTGTGAGCCTGATAACAGAGGTGTTGGGGTGTGGGCTCTGGAAGGTTTGCATGTGAGTCCGTTTGAAGGCGAGTGGTTTCCATCTCTAGGAATCAGCTAGACAGGTAGGTAGCTGACATCTGAATGAAGAAAATAAGAAAATGCCGTTAACAGAGACACAGTGAAAGGTGTGCTGCGTGTGACTTTTGTTTGGTCTTTTTACTTCTTATTTTGAGACGTAGTCTCACTACATTGCTGAGGCTGACCTCAAACTCGTGATCCTCCTGCCTCAGCCTCCCGAGCCGCTGGGATTATAGGCGTGCTCCACTGCGCCCGGCTAATTTTCATACATTTTTTAGTAGAGTCTGTAGTTGACATTAGCGTTCATTCTCCGTTGCACACTCTGTAGGTTCTGATGAATGTATGAAGTTATTTTCCACCATCATTACAGCATCATACAGGAAAATTTCCCAGCCCCAAACACCCTCTGCCCTGAAAACCCCAGGCAGTCACTGAACTTCCTACTGCCCCCAGCTTTGATTTTTCTAGAATGTCCTGAGCAATATGTGTTTGTTTCCTCTTTGTCTCTACATGTCTTGTTGGCTCATTTCTTTCCTTTTTTTCCCTGGTTGTTGAGGACCTTTATTTTTATTTATTTATATGTGGCGCTGAGAATCGAACCCAGTGCCTCACACATGCCAGGCGAGCTTCCTGCCACTGAGCCACACAGCCCCAGCCCGGCTCATTTCTTTTTATTTCTGGGTAATATTCCGTCGCCTGCATGGGCCACCATTTGGAAATGAAGCTTACCCACTTTTAGCATTTAAGGGAGCGGCCCAGCCTCCGTGGTGCTGGTGGGGCTCCCCGATGTGTGCACACAGCCCGGGTGGAGCCCCCAGAGACCACTGTCCTGGCACTCAGCACCAGAGCCCCACGGTCAGGCAGTGGGGATGGTGGATTTGTGGGCGTGAGCCACCGGGGCCATGCTTCTGCTCTGGGCTCCACGTGGCTGTGGGGGCAGTGCTGACTGTCCCTGAACCTCTTGGTGGTGGAGACCCAGGGGCACTCTTCTTTACCCATAGGGCTGCAGGCTGGCGAGGGAGTCTAGGAGTCTGAACGCTCTGCCTCCTGGAGGAACTGCAAACAGCTGCGAGAAGACAGACCCCCAGGGAGTGGGTGCTGCTGGCCTGGAGCAGCTGGAGGCCTCCTTCAGGCCGTTCAGGGCAACTGGGGCCGGGCTGCTGAGCTTCCTGGGTCCCCGGGGTGGGCTTGTGCCTGCTGCTGGCTGCCCGCTGCAGCCCTCTATGGGATCCTTTCACCCCTGGCCTCCTCCCAGACTTACACCCTGTCTGGGACACGGCTTGCTGCTCCTGTGAAGGCTCCTGGCCAACGTGCTCCAGACAGGGCGGCTGCCTCCCCTTCTGCAGGCCTGTGTGCGTGTGTGTGCTCATGCGCATTGTGTGCAGGGTGCTGCAGAGGTGGGCGGTGCTGCGTCAGCCCCTCCTCCCAGAACCGTGGCTCCAGGACCCGGAGCCCTATGGGGGGAGCCAGGCTGCCAGCAGGGACCAGCTGACGTGGTGCCATGACCAGCGAGCTGCCAGGGGAGAGTGCCCACTGGCTGGCATTCTGCCAGGCAGCCTCAGCTGGAGTCTCAGAACCTCTCGAGACACCCCAGAGGTTGGGAGCCAGGAGCTTCTCCTCTCACCTCTACATCGGGTTTGCTTTGAACTCCTTGGGGTTCCAGCAACTCCAGAGGCCCCGGGAACAATACCTGGGTGGGGAGGCTGCTAAGCAGCCAAGCAGGCAGGACGGGCGTCTCCCTTCCCGTCCACGGCCTGCTCCCCCAGGGAGGCGGCTGATTCCATGCAGACCTGAGCACCCCTTGGCAGTCCCACGCCGGGCTGGCTGGCGAGGATGGAGAGGATCCACTTGTTTTAAACGTTCTCTGAGCTCTCCTGCCTGACTCTGCCCGGTGCTCCGGCTGACTTTGTCCTGGGGGAGGTTATAGAAAGATCTTAATGCTGCCCACACGGCATCAGCAAGGTCCTGTGTCCCCGACCCGGGAGCCTGGACAGGGCACTGCAGGCAGCTGTGCATCCATACGCTGTGGCTGATGTACCCCTCTGTTTCCTCAAGGTCAAAGAGGAGAAGAAACGAGGGGTCTGAACCAGCCGCCTGCGTGCCTCCGACGTGTGTCCCCGCGCGAGGCCAGGGCCCGTCCCCGTAAGCTCTGCGGTTCCCCCTGGGAAGGGAATGAGTGGAGGGTCCACACTGGTATTTTCATTTTCTGACATTTGTCTGAGCCCTGGAAGCTCCTGAGCTTCTGGAATGGCCCAGAGGCTCAGGAAGAACTGGGCACCAGCCTGCCCAGAGGCCTCTGTAGACGTGAGCCCCACGGGGAGAGGCAGCCTTGGCTGAGCTCCCTGAGCTCCACGTGGAAGGTGGATGGCTGCTCGGCTGCCGTTCCCCAGCCCTCCCCGTCCAGTCCTGACTTGGATTCACATCTCCTCTGGCAGCAGCTGGCTGCTCTTGCTGCAAGGTGGGAAAGGGAGATCAGCTTCGCCCACAGCGTGAAGTAGCGGGAAGTGTGCTGGTGCTTCTGCGGCTGGCAGAGGTCTTGGGAGGGAGCTGCCTTGCTGTGTGTTTTGGCCAGGTAGTTTTGCCTCTCTGGGCTCATCAGTAAGCAGAGACAGAGGGCTAGAGCGCTGGCGAAAGTTTTTCTGGTCCTTCCCAGGGAGGGCAGCCCACTCCTGGGGGGAGGAGGGGCACCCCAGAAGGAAACTCATCTCTAACTTGGATGCTTATTCTGAGATCTGAGTCTGGGTCAAGCAGGGCCCACACCCAGCCCTGCAACCCTGAGAGCATTTAAAAAGACCCGAGTGACCAGCTGGGGTCCCCTTGAGCCTTGGTTCCCTTGGTCCTTCCTTGAGGAGGGCTGAAGCCCAGCTTTACAAATGGGGCTGGAAGTTGGGACCGGCCTGAGTTGTCTATGAGTTAGCGTTTGCTCTAAATAGAATCATACTGTCCCCTATTTAGTAAAATGCAAATAAAAGTGGCAATACTGTCTTTCTTATGAATGACCTGGCACTGCTATTCAGGTTATCTATTCCATTCTTACAATAACCCAAAGAGGTGGGAGTGACATTATCATTCTTCTATAGAATGACAACACTGAGGCAGAGAGGTTAAGTAACTTACCCAGAGTCACACAGCTGAGACACTTGGCAGAACAGAACTTGAGCCCAGGCCTATCAGAGCTAGAGTTCAGGATATAACCTCTAGGCTACACTGCCTCTTCTCACCGTAATCGTAGAAGTCCTGGAGGGACGTTTACTGAACAGCTCTGCCTCGGAGTCCTTTGCTGGAGGCTGAGCTGGTAAGCCCAGTTGGTTGTGGCTGGTTGAGTCCCAAAGAGGCCACTTTGAACTTTATGCCTCGAAAAAGTAGAGACTACCCCTGTGGCCCTGGCCACTCTCTCCAGTATCCTGCCTGGCCTGACCCTGTCGGCAGAGCACATTGCCCGAGGTTGGGCAGGGGGTGGGGGACTGTCCAGAGACTCAGCAGCGTAGGGAGTAGCACCCCAGCTTCTAGGCCTTTCATTAGTCCAGCGGAAGCTCTGGCCACAGGCACGGAGCTCGGGCAGCCACGTATCTTGGTATTTTTCTTCCTTTCTTAGGAAAAAATGATGAGAAGACTCGAGAGCCCTCTCACACACGATTTCAGGTCATAGTAAGAGGACCTCAGGAGAATCGATTCTGTTATCACAGAAGTAAGAGCAGGTACTGCCCCTGCCCTGCCTTGACTCCAACCGCCACCGGCCACATCCATCATGCCTGCAGGAAGGAGATGGCAGCCCTGGGACCTGGCACCATGGCACAGAGGAAGGTCTGCAGCTGGGTCAGGAAACTGAGGGTCCTTGGGGGACAGACAAGGACAGGCTGGGCTCCCAGCCACCCCAATAGGCTCATTTACGAACCCACAAGACAGAACCCTGTAAGTTGTTAACTCATGAAAAAGACACTTCTAAGGGGTGACAGCCGGGCTCTGCCGTCCACTGACCTGTGTTCCCGTAGGGAGCTGATAGCTGGTTCTTTGCTTACAACAAGAACTTTGATTTTACCCAAGGACTTGATCTGGGTTGGCTTTGCAGAACGACCTGCAGCTTCAGTCAGTAAAGGGATTTGATCTTCAAAACCAGATATGAGCATGGACATTATGGAGACAGGTTTTTGTATAAAGCAAGGGCCATGTGGGTGAGCAGAGCGGGTGAGGCAGGAGGGTCCAGCTCCGCCAGCTCGACCCTGGTGCAGGCGTGTGTCCCTGTGCGCCTCGTGGCTGGCGGGTTCTCCCATGCCAAGGGGGAGCGCGAGGCAGCGTCGCTCAAGGCTGCATAGCCGTGTTCTGTAGAGCAAAGCACATGGGATCTGGGAGGCAGAAGCCAAAGGCACAAACAAATAACCAACAGCCCAGCTTATAAACACATGCAGGCTCTGACAGCCGCAGGCAGCCACCAGCTCCTTGTCCCAGCGGGAGCAGCAGCACAGGGCCAGAGAGAGGGACCTCGAGTCCTTCCAGAGAAGTCCTTTCCCCAGCTGCTGCCCACCTGGTGGAGTCCACCAAGGCCTGGCTCTCCTCCCGCGGCCATGAGGGTGGCCTCCTGTGTGCTTCCACTACTCAGAGCAGAGGGAGGTCAGCTCCCAGGGCTGCTGAGGTGTGCTGCGTTCTCTTGGCCTCCCCGTGTCCCCAGTCCTGCCTTCAAGGCAGCACTGACTGGGAATGGCAGAGACACGGATCTCAGTGCGACGGCTCAGTTGTGTGAGTCTCAGGACTCGACGTCTGGCATTGGCTGGAAGCGTGGGACCCGTCTTCTTGTTTTGTGGTTCTGAGGATACCACCCAGGGGTAAACCTGAGCCACATCCCCAGAGCTTTTCATTGTTTCTTTTGGGACAGGGTCTCGCTAAGTTGCTTAGTGTTTTACTAAGCTGACGAGGCTGGCTTCAAACTTGCAATCCTCCCTTGTCAGCCTCCTGCGCCCCTGGGATTACAGGTGTGGGCCACAGCACCTGGCTTGGACCTGTCTTCTTGACCCTCTAAGGGTCTCTGCTGTTCCAGGGAGCATCCCAAGCAGAGTTAATCTATCTGTCCATCCATCGTCCATCTCCCTCCTCCCTCCCTCTATGTCCATCAGTCCACCTTCCTTGTCCCCATCCTCCCAAGGGCATGCTGACTGACAACTCTGAGAAGCACAAGTGGGTACAGTGAACGTCCCTCTGGTTCTGATCCTCTTTGCCTTCTCTTCGGTGCAGGACGCAGGCTCAGGTGAGGGGATCCAGAGGGGCGGGCTGCTGTAGGAAAAGTCCTGGTTGCTGTGGGAGCCCAGGGCAAGGCTGTGTGCCGAGGGCGGTGACTTCTCATCTGAGGCCAGACCCCTAGACCACACTGCTGCCCGACTATGAGGGTGGGTGGCAATTCCCAGGGTTGGCACGCGTTAGGTGCAAATGGAGAGTGCCCAGGGCAGGAGGGCACTGTGACAGCAGTGATGGCCACTGCCCACTCTGTGCCCCGCCATGGGATGGTACCCTCAACAAGGCTCTGCTGCCACCTCAAGCTGAGCGACTTTGGCCAAGGTTCTGGACCCCTCTGAAATGCATTCCCTCCATCAAAAAGGAAGAACGTGAGCTGGGAGTGGCGATGCAGCCTGTAATCCCGGTGATCTGGGAGGCTGAGGCAGGAGGGTCGCAAGTTCGAGGCTCACCTAAGCAGTTCAGTGAGACCCTGTCTCAAAAATGGAAAGGGCTGGGGATGCAGCTCAGTGGCAGAGCCCCCCTGGGCTCAGCGGCAAAAAGGAAAAACAACCACAAGGAATCACAGTGTCCCTTTTCGAGCCTGTGGTCTGCGTGTCAATGTCAAACCCTCTTCACGTGCTGGTTCTTCTGTGTTGAGGACTCATTGGTTGAGAAAACTCACAAGGACAAGAAGCTACTTTGAATTCAGTAGTGGTTTAAAATCAATTTATAATTGGTTATTCGAAGCCGCATGTGTATGCGTTTGAGAAATGACCCTGGCGTGGGCTTTGTCCTGAAGGGTGAGTGCGAGGATCTCGGTCAGTGTGTGGTGACTCTGCCGCCCCCCCCCCCGGGGGGGGGCCAGGTCCTCGCACCACCCCTTCCAAGTCTGCCTTCTGTCATCCACAAAGGGCTCCACTCCTGCTGCCCTCAACTCCTGCTGCTTGCAGAACAGGAAGGAGACGGAATGGCAGGGCACGAGCCCAGGGAGGCTGATGGAAGATGTCAATGGCACGTGAGGCAGAAATGGGAGGGCGGGAGGTCCGCGGTGACCCTCGGATGGGCTCCACCATGTGGAGGGGCCATAAGAGCCCTCAATCCTGTCGCGGAAGCAGATGTGCTTCACAGGTGCTGGTCTCCCCTGTC